AAATATCAAAGGTTCATACATTTGAAGATAGTTTTCGGAGAAAGAATTTCTCTTGAGAAGATAGTTTACTCCGACAGGATTTATCTGGAGAAAATAGTTTATTCCGGCAGGATTTCTCCCGAGAAGATAGTTTACAAAGCAGGATTTCTCCTCAGAAGATAGATTCCTCAGGACGAATTTCTTCAGAGAAGCTTTTTCCGAAAGGATTTCTCCGGGGAAGATAATTTACTCCGGAAGGATTTCTCCGGAGAAGATAGTTTTACCACGAAAGGATTTCTCCGGAAAAGATAGCTTACTGAAAAATGATTTCTCCGGGGAAAATAGTTTACCGAAGAAAGATTTCTCCAGAGAAGATAGATTGCTGAGGAAGGATTTCTCTAGAGAAGATAGATTACTGAGGAAGGATTTCTCCAGAGAAGATAGATTACTGAAGAAGTATTTCACTGACGAAGATAGATTACTGAGGATGGATTTCTCCGGAGAAGATACTTTACTAAGGAAAGATTTCTCCGAAGAAGAAAGATTACTAAGGAAGAATTTCTCTAGAGAAGATAGATAACTGAGGAAGGATTTCTCCATAAAAGATCAATGGGAGGATTTCTCCGGAGAAGACAGAATACTAAGGATGGATTTCTCCGGAGAAGATAGTTTACTCAGGAAGGATTTCTCCGGAGAAGATCTAAGGAAGGAAGATAGCAGGAGAAGGAGCAGATAGTTTTTGAAACATATATAACACGTCAATAGGGCAAGAGAACAATGTATCTAATCCTATGAACCTAACTAGTAAAGAAGAAATTCATGCAATAATGATTCAAAATCCAATGGAGGAAATTCAACTCCGTATTTTCTAATTAATGTATCTAGAAGATCAAATAATAAAAATAAGTTTAAAACTTTTTAGGACAAACTTGAATAATTCTGAAATATTCTTTTCTTCATATTCTAGCCTCTAGGAAAGTGTTTTTTTTAAATTACTGTTGAATAACACAATTTTTTATTGTCTTATGTTGTTTGTGTTATATAAATATTATTTTTTCTACCTAATTTATTAATTTAAAGATTTCCCTTATTTAAATACTAAATTTGTGACCATAACGGTTAAATTAAAATTGTCAAACATATTATTATTTTATTTATACCAAGAACACATTCCATTTTGATTCTGTCATAAATACATAAAACAAGTTTATGTTTAATGACTCATTAAATGAAAGGTTATGTGCCCTTGCATATTCTGTAAAAACATCAGATTTTTTCTCTCTGGAATGTTTAATATAAAAGGTAGATTTATTGGTTAGGTAGGAGTAGAGACGCGTGCCAAAGATCAGGGATTCCATCACAGGTTGTTACATTGTAAATCCTATCCACTTCTATCCTATCAATTCAGATCAGGAACATGTAAAAAAATCAAGCAGTTTTCAACCAACCTTGGTCATTTTAAAGAAATATACTTTTAGTTTTGGATTATCGAAATTAATTTTAAGTGTTGAAATAGTTATCCAATTTTGTTTGTTCCGGCTCTGTGTTCGTCTAGTTTAGAAACACACGTCCAGGTCTAGCATGAATGGCGTCAATAAAAAAATCTATTTGGAAAATTTTACTCAATAAAAATATTTTTAGAAAAATGTGATTTTATCTATTTTCAAGGTTATGATGCTACATTCATTCATGAATCCTGATCTTATAAACATTCTTCAAAACTTTAAGATTTCGAAATCTTTTTTTTCATTATATAACCTAAAACTTCCAAATGAAACTAGAAACTTTAAAATATAACCTAAAGTTTCAAAATAAAACATAAAACTTTAAAATAAAACTAAAACTTTAAAATAAAAGCCAAAACTTCAAATTAAAAGCTAAAATGGAGCTAAATCTATTTCTAACGATGTATCTAGAACATTTTTAAAGCTTTTTTTAGCATGATGGAAACAGGAAAATTCTTTTTTTTGTTCATCTTGTTCTTCTTGTTCTTCTCTTCTTCTTTCTCTATAAGTATTGTGTTTCTAGCCGTATATACAATAACTGATATTTATGTGGGCTGAGGTTAAAAGTCAAGGGAACCCATATTCGCTTATTATATATTCTAAATGCAGTTCACACTGTTCATCATAGTTTCAGACCAAAATTGTATTCTTTATAATACAGAGTCCAACCCACGCAGGTCAAGTTGGAAACAGATTGAGAAGAGTAATGATAAAGCGGAAAGTGAATGAGAAGGAAAAGAAGAAGATGAAGAAGATGAAGAAGAAGAACAAGAACAAGGCAAAAAAGAAGAAAAATTAAAACAAGAACAGGAAGATATATTAAAGAGAAGCCGAAGAAAGAAAAAGATGTAAAGATGATAAAGAGGTTTCTCCATGAGTTGGTTATCCACCAAGTTTTTAAAAACTTTTCTCAAAAATAAAACCGTCAGAAGCTGTAAAACCTAAAATACATTTATTAGTGTGGCGAATTCACAACTTCTTGCCGCTGCGCTGGATCAGGCCGCCTGGCTGCCTGGCTGCCTGAGCTGCCTGAGCTGCCTGCATATTAAGGCAGGGGAGGGGAGAGGAAAACGGGAGCGCAAATTGATTTTGTGGCGGTACATTGAACTCTTCATCGATCATTATTCTAGATTTATTAATCATTTTTTAAAATAAGAAGAAAATCGTTAAACCAAATACAACAACGGATATGACTAAAATTTTAAAATGTTTTTAAAAAATCTTGAGGTATTTAACGGTGAAGATGAAACACCATGGCCGGAGTTTAAGTAAAAATATGTTTTTAAGATGAGACCCATGTAATACGTAGAACTAGAGAGTACATGAAAATAAGAATGAGTATTATAATCATCTCTTTTCATCATTACATTATAATCATCCTATATAATTCTAATTCATATATATTTGCAACCGCATGTCGTACACTTTTGATAGTTCTAACAATCAATTCTGTTAGATCAAATAGCCTAAGTTTAAATGTCAAAGGTTTACACAATCAGATTGCAAAGATGTAGGGATTAGAAAATTAGACTTAATGATCCTTTACTCCTCGATTTATTATTACAAAAATCTGTATTCTGCATATTTCTATATTATATATTATATATTATATTATATTATATACGCAATCTGAGGATAACTTGTTGACATTGTAGCAAAAACGATGATTTTGCAAACTCTAAACCGTGTCGCTAGGGTTGGATTGAGAGAGTGTAGTTTCACGCTAAAATATCCGAACCATAAACTCATATTTATCAAACACTTGTCAACTTCTACCAGGGGTTCAACCCATAGCCCCCCCCCCTCAACCAAGCTTTCGGTGCGTTCTTCAGTATTATGCAGTACACTGATCGAAGATATAGTAGCGTTTAGTGGAGAGTGG